AGCATCCGCAGCATCCGCAGCATCCGCAGCATCCACAGCAGCAGCAGCAGCATCCGCAGCATCCGCAGCATCCGCAGCATCCACAGCAGCAGCAGCAGCATCCGCAGCATCCGCAGCAGCATCCGCAGCAGCAGCATCCGCAGCCGCAGCAGCAGCATCCGCAGCAGCATCCACAGCAGCAGCAGCAGCATCCGCAGCAGCAGCAACAGCATCCACAGCATCCGCAGCAGCAGCAGCAGCAGCAGCAGCAGCAGCAGCAGCAGCAGGCGCACCGACGGCGCTGCGTAGCTTGAGCTGGCCGTCTTGGGTGTTTGGCTCTGCAGCCAAAGAATTCAGCAAAGTGCTTTTGCCCACAGAAGGAAAGCCAATTAAACAAACCCTCGCGTCGCCCTGGCGCGCCACTTCAAAACCCTCGCCTTTGGGGCCCCCGCTGCGGCTCGTGCCCTCCACCAGCTCCGACCTGCGCGCCCGCGGCTAGGGTTTAGGGTTTAGGGTTTAGGGTTTAGGGTTTGGGGTGAGGGGTGAGGGGTGAGGGGTGAGGGGTTTGCGGTGTAGGGTTTGGGGTTTGGGGTTTGCGGTGTAGGGTTTGGGGTGTAGGGTTTGAGGTTGAGGGTTTCAGGCTTTGGGTTTAGGGTTTGGGGTTTGGGGTTTGGGGTTTAGGGTTTGGGGTTTAGGGTTTCGGGTTTAACGGGGAAAACTGAGTTTTAAGAGACAAATGAGCATTTTGTGTCGAAAGTAAACAATTTTAATTATGAATTAAAATAGAATTAAAATAATTATTTAATTATTTGATTATTTTAATTCAGAAAAAGATGTTTAATTAAAACTTATTTTTAAAATTGGAACTTCTTCGACCCACCGCAGCCTCGCCAGCTTCGCCTTGAGGCCTCCCAAATGGTGCTGCAGCAGCAGCAACAGCAGCGCAGCAGCAGCAGTGCAGCAGCAGCAGTGCAGCAGCAGCAGCAGCAGCGCAGCAGCAGCAGCGCAGCAGCAGCGCAGCAGCAGCAGTGCAGCAGCAGCGCAGCAGCAGCTGCTGAGGTGTACGTACACCCCAAACCCGGGGCTCTGCATGCTAAAAGCGGCATTTAGTTGAAGCAAAAAATAAATTGAAATTAAAAAACATAAAAATATAAATATATAAACATATAAATATATAAATATATAAATATATAAATATATAAATATATAAATATATAAACATATAAATGTATAAATATATAAATATATAAATGTATAAATATATAAATCTATAAATATATATAAATAAAAATATAAAAATAAAAAACGAATTTGGAAAAAAAAAGAACTCGAGTATCCGCAGAAGCAAAATGAAACTTGCAATTAAAATTAATACAAAGAAATAAAAACAAAATAAAATGAAATGAAATAAAAGTAAAATAAAAGTTAAATCAAAACTAAATTAAATTAAATTAAATTAAATTAAATTAAATTAATTTTAATTTAATTTAATTAAAAAACTTCTTTTTGCTTCGACGGACTTCTGTGGCTTTGTTCTTTTGGGTGCGGGAGATCTCATGTTCAATTTCTTTAATTCTCTGCAAATAAAAAAAGAAAATTAAATTAAATTTCATTTTAATTGCATTTTAATTTCATTTTAATTGCATTTAATCGCATTTTAATTCAAGTTTTATTCATTTGTTTCATTTAATTCAAAAAGAATCAAAAAAGCCGAAAAGAAATAATTAAAAAGGAAAAAAATTGAAAAAAAGAGCAGCAGCAACACAAGCAGCAACATGCAACGGGGGAATATAAACTGGGGAAGCAGCAGCAGCAGCAGCAGCAACAGCAGCAGCAGCAGCAGCAGCAGCAAACTGAGCAGCAGCAACACCCGCTGCAGCAACAGCACCAGCAGCAGCAGCTGCAAAAGATGCGGCAGCACTACTGCCAACAGGGTAGCCAGCTGGTGCAATAAGAGCAGCAGAGGGAAACAGCAGCAGCAGCAAAATCAGCAGCAGCAGCAGCAGCAGCAGCAGCAGCAGCAAACCTCAAGGATCCCCATTGTGTCTTGGTGGAGGGGGAAAGGGGAAACAGCAATAAGAATATTGGCAGCCCCTTATTGGCTCGATGCTGCTGCTGCTGCTGCTGCTGCCTTTTCTGCTACTGCGGTAGCTCCTGCTGCTGTTGTTGATGATCTTGCAAATGCTGCAGATGCTGCTGCTCCTGCTGTTGCAGGCGTTGCTGCTGCTGCTGCTGCTGCTGCTGCTGCTGCTGCTGCTGCTGAGGTAGGTATATGGGGCTGCGAGTAGAGCAATCGTTCTTGCTGCCGTTGCTGCTGCTGCGGCCCACGCCGCTGTTGCTGCTGCTGTTGCTGCTGCTGTTGCTGCTCCTCTTGGGTTCCTGCTGCTGCTCCCGTAGATGCTGCTGCTGCTCCTGCAGATGCTGCTGCTGCTCGTGTATATGCTAATGCTGCTGCTGCCTTCTCCTCCGGCGCTTCTTACTTGAGGATAGGGCAGCCCAAGCTGCAGCAGCCCCTACACTGCAGCAGCAACAGCAGCAGCAGAAGGAAAACGCAGAGAAATCAGCAGCAGCGGCAAGACACGAGGTGCTGCAGTTTATTAAAATCAGTCCGAATATTTCCTACAACTTTTTTGTGCTTCAAGAAGAGCAGCAGCAGCAGCAGCAGCAGCAGCAGCATGCCGAATCCGGGTCACGGGGGGCCCCCCAGATGGGGGGCCCCTCAAGACCCTTCACGGGGCCTTGTTAAGCGCCTTGCCTATTTGATCTTTGTTGAAATTTAAATAATTAAATATTTAATTGACAATTAATATTCAAATACGCTCGAAAAACGGCTGTGGCGCTCTTTTTGCTGGAGTTGCTGCTGCAGCAGCTGCTGCTGCTGCTGCAGTATCGGGGCCTCAGCAGCTGCTGCTGCAGTGTACCTACACTTGAGCACCAGCAGCTGCCACACGCGTGCAAGTCCTTTAAATATGGCTTCATCTGTGGCCGGCGCAGCATTTGCTGCTGCCGCAGCAGCAGCAGCAGCAACCGCTGCAGCTGCCCGACCCTCTTCCTCTATGGCAGGAGCAGCAGCAACAGCAGCAAAAGCAGCAGCAGCTGCGGCTGTAGCTGGCCAGCGTGCTGCTGCTGCTCATCCGGGACGGCGTGCTTCCCACCGGTTAGGCCTGTCAGCAGCAAGAGAAGCAGCAGCTGTCCCAGCAGCGACAGGGGCAGCAGCAGCAGCAGCAGCTGCTGCTGCTGCTGCTGCTGCCAACGACGACTATGATCATCCCCGACGAAGTCCATCTCTGGCCATTGCTCTAGCGGGGCTTGCTAGGGCGCAGCGGCAGCAGCAGCAGCCGCAGCAGCAGCTGCAGCTGCGGCAGCAGTCACACGGCCTGCTTGCTGCTGCTGCAGCAAAGGCAGCAGCTGCTGAATGGCGGCTCCAGAAGCAGCAGCAGCAGCAAGCGACGCAGCAGCAGCATCAAGAGCCCGTGTCTATTCCGGGGCCTTTGTTTTGCTGCTTAGGCCTGCACGCTTGCGCTTCTTTCCCTGCCCCAGTGCAGCAGCAGCAGCAGCAGCAGCAGCAGCAGCAGCAGAAGCAGCATCGGTGGCCGAGTGACTCTGCCCTAGAAGGCGTGGCTCAGTCGGTCCTCCGTGTACTGTCAAACAGCGGATCTGGCAGCAGCAGCAGCAGCAGCAGCAGCAGCAGCAGCAGCATGCCAGCAGCAGCAGCAGCAGCAGCAGAGGTTCGCCTTGTTGAAGTGTATAGACAGCTCCCCACAGATCTCCTCAGAGCCCACTTCGCCGGCCAGTGCATGCGGCTGTTGGGGCTGCAGCTAAAGTGCTGCAGCAGCAAACATGCAGCAACAGCACTTGCTGCGCTGCTGCGGCTGCTGCCGCAGCTTCCTGCAGCACCGGCTGCAGCGCAGCAGCAGCAGCTGCTGCTTCGAGACATCAAGCGCTGGCAGCAGCAGTGTAATCTCTTGCAGCAGCAAGAACTGCATCGGCAGGATGTGGAGGCAGTTGCTGCTGCTGCTGCTGACCCTGAGCCCAACTGTGGCCCTGAAGCAGCAGCAGCAGCAGCAGCAGCAGCAGCAGCAGAAGCAACAGCAGTCAGTGCAGCGGGAGTCTCAGAAGAGGCAGCAGCAGCTCATATCTGCCGCAGGTGGCCTATCTTTAGCAGCAAACAAGAGCCCTCAGCAGCTGCAGCATATTTGCTGCTTGCTGCTGCTTTGCTGCGGGCAAAGCAGCTGCTGCGCCGCCGCCGCAGCAGCAGCAGCAGCAGCGGCAGCAGCAGGACAGTAGCTTCCGTTGTTTCCGCGGCAGCAAAAACGGCGGAGTTGGCGGCCCCCCTGTCAGTTGCTGCTGCTGCAGGTGCTGCTGCTGCGGGTGCTGCTGCTGCTGCTGGCGCTGAAGCTGCCTCAAGCGCAGCAGCAGCACCGGAAGCAGCAGCAGCAGCAGCAGCAAAGGCCGCAGCGCTGCAGCTGCTGCAGTCCCCAGACACAGATGAGGCTTTGCTGCTGCACCGCGAGATGTATAAAGGCTCTGACTTGGTGATGCTGCTGCAGGCAGCAGCAGCAGCGCCAATGTGGAGGCCGGAGGTGGGGCTTCCCGCTGCTCCCTTTGCTGCTGCTGCTGCTGCTGCTGCTGCTGCTGCTGCTGCTGCTGCTGCTGCTGCTGCTGCTGCTGCTGCTTGAGCCCATGCTGCCGTTGATACCCTCGCTAGTGATTTTGCTGCTGCTTCTGCCAGGAGCTGCTGCTGCTCTGCTGCTGCTGCTTTTCTCAGTTCCTGCGGAGTCTTCCCAGTCTGCTGCTGCAGCACATCGCATTCCTTTCCCCGCAGCAGCTGCTGCTGCTGCTGCACTTGATGAAGTGCCTGCGGGTTTGCAGGCCTGCTGCCCGCACTGCAGCAGCACCAGCTGCGGCACCAGCAGCTGACTCAGCCACAGCAGCAGAAGGAGAAGCAGCGGCAGAAGCAGCAGCAGCAGCAGCAGCAGCAGCAGCGGAAGAGGTCCATTGGTCTGAGGTTGCTGCAGAAGCTGCCCCCCACCTGCTGCGCCTGCTGCGCGCCGGCCGCTGCAGCAGCAGGGACGCAGCAACAGCGCTGTCCCTATACACCTCGTGCGCTGCTGCTGCTGCTGCTGCTGCTGCTGCTGCTGCTGCTGCTGCGTCTGGCGCACTTCATGCTGCGGCTGCTTCGCCTCCTGCTGCTGTCTTGTCTGTCTTTTGCTTCTGCTTCTGACACTGCCTCTGACCTCCTTGGCCGCTCCCCATATTCTGTTATTTGCTGCTGCTGCTGCTGCTGCTGCTGCTGTTTTGCTGCTGCTGCTGCTTCTCTGCCGATGCTCAGCGAGGAGTGGCGCAGCGCCGAGGTTCCTTCAGCAGCAGTTGTCGCTGCTGTTGCTGCTCACCTGCCTGCGATTCTGCAGCAAAGCAGCAGCAGCAAATGCAGCAAAGGGAATTTGGCCGACACTCTGCTGCTTCTGCAGGTTTTGCTGCAGTGGAGGGCCCCACAGCCAGATGTGTGGGGCCCTCCGTTGCTGCGCAGCATAGCAGCAGCAGCAGCAGCAGCAGCAGCAGCAAGGCCTGCTGCGCTGTCTGTGCAGCAGCTTGCAGCTGCAGCAGGTGCTATGGCTCTGCTGCAGCTGCTGCAGAACCTCTATTGCTGCCAGGTGCTGCTAGATGAGGAGACGCCGGGAGCGTCTGCTGCTGCTGCTGCTGCTGCTGCTGCTGCTGCAGTTCCGCTGCAAAGGCCGCCTTCGGGCGGGTTTGCTGCAGCAGTGGCTGCTGCGCTGCAGCCTTGGCCCTCGTCTGGCAGCAGCACCATCAGCAGTAGCAGCAAAAAGGAGCTGCTGAGTAGTCTTATCTCATGCTGGCAGCAATTAACCAGAGGCTTTACTGCAACAGCAGCAGCAGCAACAACCCAGCAGCAGCAGCAGCAGCTCTTGTCTGCAGCGATGCTATGCTGCGCGGCCTGCGGTGTTTTGCTTCCTCATTCTGCAGCCGAGCATCTTGTGAGACTGCTGTTGCTGCTGTTGCTGCTGCCCTTATTGCTGCAGCTGCTGCTGCAAGCGCTATGCAGACGTGCCCGTTAGCTGCTGCTGCTGCTGCGGGTGTGTTTGCTGCAGCAGGGTCTGCTGCAGCAACACACATCTGGAAGCAGGCCTTCAAGTGTGTCAACAGCACTGCTGCTGCAGCTGCTGCGCAGCGCGTTGCTGCATCAGGAGTACAGTGAAGCCTTGTCAGAGCAGCAGCAGCAACAGAGGCAGGGAGAGACTACTGACGCAGCAGCAACAGCAGCAGCAGCAGCAGCAGCAGCAGCAGCAGAGCTGCAAAGGAGGCGACTGAACCTGCAACAGAGGGCTGAAGCTGCAGCTCTCCTATGGCGTCTCTCCCGTTCAGATTCTATCGGCAGGTAAGCAGCAGCAGCAGTAGCAGCTGAAGCAGCAGCAGCAGTAGCAGCAGCAGCAGCAGCAGCTTTAGGACACGGCCATTTGTGTGGCTGAAGCTGCTGCTGCTGTACTTGCCTTTGCGGGCTGTTAACTGGCCGCACCTCATGAGCTGCTGCTGCTGCCATTGCTGCTGCTTCTCTCGCTTGTTGCGCTGCTGCTGCTGCTGCTGCTGCTGATCTTCATCTCGCATGTTCTACATCTGCGGCCGCCGCTGCTGCTGCAGCAGCAGCAGCTGCTGCTGCTGCTGCAACTGATAGCTTTTCCTTCTGCTTTTTAACTGCAGGGCTGTTTTAATGGGGTCACACCTGGCGGATGGAATCTCTTCTGCTGCAGCTGCTGCTGCTGTTCCCACAGCCTTTAAAAGATATGCTCCTGCAGCTCGTGCAGCTTCTGCTGCTGCTTCTGGTGCAGCAGCGATGCAAGGGACTTGGGAGCTTCCCACTGCAGCAGCAGCAGCAGCAGCGAGAGAGCGGCATCACACGAAGTCTTCTAAGCTGCTGCTGCAGTCCGTACCTTCGGCCGACAGCAGCATTGTGAGGCAGGCGTTTTGCATTTTTGCTGCTGCTGCTGCTGCTGCTGCTGCCAGTGCTGCTGCGCTGCTACTACTGCCGCAGCTGTTGTGGCTGCTGCCAGTGCTGCTGCAGTGCTGCTGCTGCCGCTGCTGCTGCAGCTCCCACGATGTTTGCTCCTTCTTGCTTACGCAGGACTCGCTGGAGGATTTGCTGCCTTCACGAGGCAGCAGCAGCAGCAGCAGCAGCAGGGCACAGCAGCAGGGAAGGGGGCAGCCGCAGGAGCGGCAGGACAGCAGGCGTCAGCAGCAGCCAGCAGCAACAGCAGCAGCAGCAGCAGCTTGTGTGCCTATGCCGGCTCCCTGTTTTGCTGCCTCATCTCACCAAGCGCAGCAGCAGGAGTTCCTGCCAAGTGCTGCTGCTGCTGTTGCAGCAGCAGCAGAGCAAGCTTCACGCTGTGCTGTTACACCGGAAGCTTTGCTGCTCCTGCTGCTGCCGCCCCCAGCAGCAACAGCTGCTGCAGCAGCGCCCGCAGGAGAAGAGCCATGCTCTCCAAACAGCAGTGGCAGTTTGAAAAGCTGCACGGAAGCGGGCGTCAGCAGCAGCAGCAGCAGCAGCAGCAGCAGCGGCAGCAGCAGCAGCAGTAGCTGCGCATGCGTGCGGACCCTTTGCTGGCATGAGGGCCGGTGGTCTGAAGAGGAGAGAAAAGTGGACATCTCCAAATGGGCAGAAGCTCTGCAGTCCGTCTGGACTTCTGCTGCTGCTGCTGCTGCTGCTGCTGCTGCTGCTGTCTCATCCCTTTCTTTTGTAGCTGCTGCAATTTCTGCTGCTGCTACTCTTGTTTATGCTGTGACCGCTGCAGCTCCTGCTGCTGCTGTCGCTCTTGAAGCTGCCGCTGCTGCGCATCTTGCTGCTGCAGCAGCTGCTGTGTGTGAAACGTTCGTGGATCACCTCGTACAGTTTGTGCTGCTGTTCCGGCATCTGCTGCTGCTGCTGCTGCTGCTGCTGCGCAGCTTCATGCTTTCTTTTCTTTTTGCGGCGATTTGCAGGGAGCGACACGCGCTGCTGCAGCAATTGCTCCTGTGGCTGCAGCAGCAGCAGCAGAAGCAGCAGCAGCACTGCCCTTCACCGCGTCGACCAGGTATGCTCGCAGCAGCTGCAGCAGCACGATGCACAGCAACAGCGGTGCTGACAACGGCAGCAGCAGCAAAAGCAGCAGCAGCAGCTTCTGCTGCTGCTGCAGCAGCAGCAGTAGCAGCAGAAGCTGCTGCTGCTCAGCTTTTTATATTTGCCTTTTTCTTTAGATTTGGTTTTTGCTGCTTTGTTTAAATGAGCAGCTTTTCCAGTTTTGTGCGGCGCTGCATCTCCGCCTCTTTCTATTTTGCTGCTGATTTGCCATTTCTTTTATCTCTCGATTATTTTATTCTTTTTTATTTTGTTTTCTTTTTATTTTATTTCTTTGTTTTTTTTTCGTTTTCTTTCTTTCTCAGCTCAACTTCTGTCTCTCTTCAGGAGCATTGCTGAAGCCATTGCTGCTGCAGGTCAGACTTCCGCGGCAGCAGCAGCAGCAGCAGCAGCAGCGACAACGGTTGCTGCAGCAGCCTGTGCGCCTGCTGCTGCAGCTGAAAACTAAACAGGCAGACGCAGCAGCTACTGCCACAGAAGCAGCTGCAGCAATGTGGCTTCAGTTGTGTTCAGTTTGCTGCAGGTTTTGCAGTGGGGGCCAAGCTGCTGGACGGGTTCCCTAACCGCTGCGAAGAGCAGCAGCAGCAGCAGCAGCAGCAGCAGCAGCAGCGCCAGCCGTTGGAGGAGCAGCAGCGGCAGCAAGTGCAGCAGCTGCAGCGCCTGCTGCTTGAACACAGCCCCTGGCAGCAAGAGGCTGCTGCCCCAGCAGCAGCAAACCATGTGCTGCGGCGAGTCGTTGCTGCTGCTGACATCTGCTGCTTACAGCATGGGGTGCGGATTGACGTTGCGCTGCACCTGCTGCCGACTACACAGCCCGGGAGCAGCAGCAGCAGCAGCAGCAGCAGCACAAGCCGCAGCAGCAGCAGCGGCAGAAGCACAGGCGGCGGGCCAACAGCAGCAGCGCCATCAGAAAAGCGCGTTGCGCTTTTTTTGGACAGAGGGAGCAGCAGCAGCAGCAGCAGCGCTGCTGCTGCTGTTGCAGCGCTGGAAACTTTGCTGCTGTCAATGAAGGGCTGGGAGGTATACGAGCTTCAACTGGCGCCTGCTGCAGCAGCGGCTGCACCAGCTGCTGCAGCAGTATGCAGCAGCAGCAGCATGAGCCGCAGCAGCGCAACTAGCAGCAGCATGAGCCGCAGCAGCACGGCTAGCAGCAGCATGAGCCGCAGCAGCACAACTGGCAGCAGCAGCATCACAGGCTTCCCTGCGGAGGCGGCTGCCTCGCTGCTGCCTTTGCTGCTGCGGCCTTTTAAGTAGCAGCAACTGCTCCAAACTGCCTGCAGCGTTTAGAGGCCCACGGGGCCCCTTTTAACTTCTTAAATGTCCAAATTGCATTCTCCTGAGGGGCCCTTCAGGGGCCCCTCAGGGGCCCTTCAGGGGCCCCCCAGGGGCCCCTCAGGGGCCCCCCAGGGGCCCCTCAGGGGCCCCCCAGGGGCCCCTCAGGGGCCCCTCAGAGGCCCAGGGGACCCCAGACATCTTAGTGGCCCGTGTGCCCCCCCGTCGGGCCTTTGAGGGCCCTACGGGGGCCCTTGGGGGCCCTTAGGGGCCCCTGGGAGCCCCTAGGGGCCCTTGTGGGCCCCACAAAGGCCCTTGTGGGCCCCTGGGGGCCCTTGGGGGCCCCATGCGGGCTCTGGGGGGCCCCACGGGGGCCCCTAGGGGCCCCTGGGGGCCCTTAGAGGCCCCAAGGGGGCCCTTCGGGGTCCCGTGGGGGCCCCTGGAAGCCCTACGGGGGCCCTTGGGGGCCCCACAGGGGCCCCCAAATGGCGCTGCTTGCTGTTGAGGGACAAAGAGGGTCCGTGGGCTGGCTGAGTGTCTAGTGTTGAAGACTTTTGCTGCAGCAGCAGCAAATCTGTGCTGCTGCTTTTATTTAAAATGTAAAATGCTGCTGCTTTTATTTGAAATGTAGAAAGCTGCTGCTTTGTTTAAAATGCAGAGAAATGATTAATTAGAGACGAGTGAAGCAGCTAAAGCAAAAGGGGCTCAGAGGCGTTTCTTAGTTTAGGGCCTTCTGCAGCGCAGCAGGGCCTCGCAGCTGCTGCTGCTGCTGCTGCTGCTGCTTCTGTGGACCATTCAGGGGAAGTCCACTTGGCCCATTAGGGGCAAGTAAACCCTTTAAAAGGGTTTTCTAGTGCCTCTCAGCTGAGGGGCCCCTTCCTAGGGGCCCCCTTGGGCCTCTGGGACCGACACCCTTTTCTTGGGGGCCCCTGGGGCCCCCTTGGACCCTAAAGGCTCCAGGGGGCCCCCTATGGGCCTGAAGGCCCGCAGGGGTCCCCCATGGGGCCCACAGGGAGCCCCCAGGGGGCCCCCAGGGGGCCCCCAGGGGGCCCCCAGGGGGCCCCCAGGGGCCCCTAGTTTTCTTTTTAGTTTTGGGTAATGGGGCGGACTTGTTCTGTATGCCAGGTGAGGAAGACCTGCTGCTTTTTGACGGGGGGAGGCGGCGGGCCTTCTTCTCCCTCGGCTGCTGCTGCTGCTGCTGCTGCTGCTGCTGCTGCTGCTGCGGGTTCCACAGGCACCACGCGCTGCACGTAAACCCCTGTGACCTCAGTGCCCGCAGGGAAGCTCCAGCTGCCTTCCCCTTGGGGTTTGCTGCAGCAAAAAGTGCCTTTGTACTTCGTGCCATCTTGCCAGATCCACTCCCCCTCCACCATGTGGCCCTCCACCCACTCGCCCTTCAGCTGCAGCAGCAGCAGCAGCAGCAGCAGCAGCAGCAGCAGCAGCAGCAGCAGCAGCAGCAGCAGCAGCGGCAGCAAATGACGCGTGAACGAGCTGCTGCGGCGCGCACTAGCGGTTAAAAGCAGCGGTAGCAGGTGCAGCAGCAGCAGACGCAGCAGCGCCACCGCAATTGCGCTAGCAGCAGCAACAGCAGCAACAGCAGCAAAAGCAGCAGGATCGTCATCTATAGCAGCTGCAGCAGGCGCAGCAACAGCGGCGGCAGCAGCAGCAGCACCACGGGCAATCCCCTCTACTGCCCTGGCCATCAACAGTCGCAGCAGTGGGTCCAGCAGCGTGACCAGCAGCAGCAGCAGGCAACAGCAGCAGCAGCAGGCAACAGCAGCAGCAGCAGGCAACAGCAGCAGCAGCAGGCAACAGCAGCAGCAGCAGCAGGCAACAGCAGCAGTGCAAGCAGCAGCAACGGCAGCAGCAGCAGTAAATGCAGCAGCAGCAGCAGCGGCAGTGCAAACAGCAGCAGCAGCAGCAGCAGCAGCAGCAGCAGCAGCACGATGCTTCGCATGTGATTGTGTACTTTCTGTTTAGTTTGGCTAAATGTATAAGTGCCTCTGCCATGGTAAAGACCATTTTTGAATTTCCCAAAATAAAAATCTCCATTTGCAAATCGCCGAGTGCCCTCGCCTTCCCTTAGGCCGCACACGAAGTCGCCTGGAAGCAGCAGCAGCAGCAGCAGCAGCAGCAGCAGCAGCACCAGCAGCAGCAGCAGCAGAAGCAGCAGCAGCGCCAGAGTGGGGAAAATCGGCTAAGATGCAGCAGAGCAGCAAATATGCAGATGGAGAAGACAGAGGCGACGCAAAGAGCCCAATAGGAGGGAAAGCTCAGCTGCTCTAGCAGCAATAGCTGCAGCAGCAGCAGTTGCTGCTGCTGCTGCTGCTGCTGCTCGCAGCTCGTGCCGCATATAGTTCCCTCATGGCAGCTTTCTCAGTGTGGAGGCAGCAGCCCCTCTCGCAGCGGCAGAAGCGGCAGCAACAGCAGCAGCAGCAGCCACGGCAGAAGCAGCAGCAGCGGTACCCACAGCAGCAACAGCACCAGCAACCGCAACAGCAGCAGCAGCAGCCACGGCAGAAGCAGCAGCAGCGGGTTACCCACAGCAGCAACAGCACCAGCAGCCGCAGCACCAGCAGCACCAACAACACAGGAGCAACACCGACAGCCCAGCAGCAGCAGCACCAACAGCACAACAGCAGCAGCACCAACAGCACAACAGCAGCAGCACCAGCAGCACAACAGCAGCAGCACCAACAGCACAACAGCAGCAGCACCAACAGCACAACAGCAGCAGCACCAACAGCACAACAGCAGCAGCACCAACACCCAGGAGCAGCCCCAGCAATACAGCAGCAGCAGCAGCAGCAGCAGCAGCAGCACGGCAGCAGCAGCTGCAGCAGCAGCAGCAGCACAGCAGCAGCAGCTGCAGCAGCAGCAGCAGCAGCTGCTGCTGCAGCAGCAGCTGCAGCAGCAGCAGCAGCAGCAGGAGGCTGCGGGCGTACCGTGGAAAAAGCCTCCGTTTTGGAAAGTGATTTTTCCCCTTCCGTGTTTTTTGCCGTCTTTGAAAAAGCCCTCGTACTTGTCGCCGCTGGGGTGTACGTACACCCCAAAGCCCTCGCGGCGACCCCACAGAAAAGCCCCTTCATAAGAAGCTCCGTCCGCATACACCGCACGGCCGTGGCCGCAGAAAGTGTGGGGCGCAGCAACAGAACTTCCGTCTGCTGCTGCTGCTTCCAGCAGAGAGCCACCTGCAGTCTTGACGCTTCTTGCTGCTCTTTGCGGCTCTTGGCCCGCTCAGTCAAAGTGTCTAAGATGAAAAAAAGAGCAGCAACAGCAGCAGCAGCAGCAGCAGCAGCAGCAGCAGCTGTTGCGTCCCGTAAGCTCCTTTTGTGTCTTGCTGCCCTGCCTGCTGGTCCTCAACTGCCCCTCTCTCTTCCTGCTGCGCTGCTGCTGCTGCTGCTGCTGCTGCTGCTGCGCTGCTGCCTCTCCCCAGATCCGCAGCTCTTTGCGTCTGCCTTTTGATATACTTTTCTCTCTTCAGCAGCAAATACCTTTTCCTCTTTTGCTGCAGTCCTGCTGCTACCCTTTTTGCTGCTGCTGGGCTTTTGTGTGTCTGCGGGTTTTCCCCCTGCAGGCATTTACCCACAAGTGTCTTCCGCATTTTTATTTGCATGCAACTGCAGCAAAATGTGTTTTGTTTTAATTCTATTTTATTTAATTATGGCATTTTATTAACTCCTAGCTTTTTTAATTGTTTTGTGTTTAATCGTGGCGTTTTATTAATTCCTCATTGTACATATTCATCTCTCTGCTGCTGCTGCTGCTGCTGCTGCTGCTGTTGCTGCTGCTGCTGCTGCTGCTGCTGCTGCTGCAGTGTATCTGCGCCTGCGCGGCGGCCGCCTTCTCCTGCGTAGATTTGCGCCATTTTGCTGCAATTCTTTCCCAAATATATTTACATTTATATTCTTTTATAAGTACAAATATATTTGCATTTATATTTCTTCACAAATATAAATATATTTGTTTTATTTGCAGCAATTTGCACCCAACGGCGCACTTAGGTCGAACTTCTTTTGCTTTTTATATTTCCATTTCTGCTGCGCCTCAAAAGTGGCTCCGCGGGCGCAAGCTGCTGCGCTGCGGTCACTTCCTAGCCTAGGGTTTAGGGTTTAGGGTTTAGGGTTTAGGGTTTCGCGGGGGCTTCCTGCTGCTCCTAAAGGCGAAACATCTACTCATTAAGGTCAAAAGTCTAAAGCAAGTGCCATTTACTAGTTAGGACTTGTGCCAGGGGGCCCCGCCGCAGCCGACTGGCTGTCTGGCGGCGGCTTGCTGCTGCTGCTGCTGCTGCTGCTGCTGCTGCTGCAGCGACTAGATGACCAGCCTTCTCCCCAGCAAATGATCAGCGCGGAAAGAACTAGTTTAAGAGGTTTGGAAGTGGCGAAAAAGCAGCAGTTGCTGCCACTGCAGCAGCAGCAGCAGCAGCTGCTGCTGCTGCTGCTGCTGCTGGCATTGCCAGTGCTGCGCATGCGCGGTGTCGTCGCCTAGAGCTGTCTGTACAGCAGCAGCAGCAGCAGCAGATCCATCTGCTGCAGCAAAAGACTATTTTGCCAATAATTTCATGAAAAATAAGAAATACAAATAAGGATATACTAGGGACCTTTAGGGAACACAGCTGGAGTCGCAGCAGCAGCTCGCGCTGCTGCTGCTGCTGCTGTTGCAACTTTGCGCAGGGGCCCCAGCGCTGCCCCAGTATTCTTAGGCAAAGCTTGCTGCTGCCTTACTGCAGCAACGAAGTAGGCAGCAACAGCAGCAGCAGACACAGAAGAAGCTCCATACTGCGTAAGGGGGCTTTGAGGGGGCGAGGCACAGCCAGCGGGAACAGCAGCAGCAGCAGCAGTAGCGCGAAGAGCAGCAGCAGCAGCAGCATAAGCAGCAGCAGCAGCAGAGCAGTGGAGTGCGGCTCTTCCGGAGTTGTCTTCCGACGAGGCAGCAGCAGCAGCAGCTGCAGCTGCTGCTGAGCTTTAGGCCCCCTAATGGGTACACATGCGAGAGGCAGCAGGAGCAGCAGGAGCTCAAGCACGCGCAGCAACAAGAACCGCCGCAGCAGCAGCAGCAGCAGCAGGAACTGCAGCAGCAGCAGGAACTGCAGCAGCAGCAGGAACTGCAGCGGCAGCAGAGGCGGTAACGGCAACTGCAACACTGTCAGCCGCAGCAGCGGGAACAAGCAAAAGGCTATATTAAACAGACACAACAGCAGCAACAGAAGCAGCAGAAGCAGCAGCAGCAACAACAGCAGCAGCAGCAGCAACAACAGCAGCACGGAAACGCAAGACTGCACGGCGGATGCTGCCGTCAGGGCTGCTGCAGTCGAAGGTGCTGGTGCAGCAGCTGCAGCAGCAGAGCCTGCTGCAGCAGTACAGCCAGATGCAGCAGCAGAACTTGCTGCAACAGTAGAGCCAGCTGCTGCAGCAGGGCCAGATGCTGCAGCAGCAGAGCCAGTTGCTGCAGCAGGGCCGGATGCTGCAGCAGCAGAGCCAGTTGCTGCAGCAGGGCCAGATGCTGCAGCAGCAGAGCCAGCTGCAGCAGCACGGCAAGACGCTGCAGCAGAGCCAGCTGCAGCAGCAGAGCCTGATGCAGCAGCAATAGAGCCAACTGCAGCAGCAGAGCCTGATGCTGCAGCAGCAGAGTCTGCTGCTGCCGCGGGGCCTGATGCTGCAGTAGCAGGGCCTGATGCTGCAGCAGCAGCACGCGATGGAGCAGCAGATCCTGCTGCAGGTGCTGCTGCAGCAGCAGAACCTGCTGCAGCTTCAACTGCAGCATCAGAACCCACTGCAGCATCAACTGCAGCAGCAGAGCCTGCTGCAGCGTCAGCCGCAGCAACAGAGCCTGCTGCAGCACCAACTGCAGCAGCAGAACCTGCTGCAGCACCAACTGCGGCAGCAGAACCTGCTGCAGCAGAACTGTCTAAACCAGCTGAGCCTCCAGCAGCAGCAACTGCTGCTGCAGCGGATCAATCAGCAGCAGCAAAAGCAGCAGCAGCAGATGATGCTGCAGATTCTGTCGAGACAGAAATGAACGTGGCAGATGAGGCCGATGCAGCAGCAGCAGCAGCAGCAGCAGTGCCTGCAGCAGCAACAACGGCAGCAAGTGCAGCTCCGTCTTCAGCAGCAAAAGTGTCAAAGGTTGAGCCTTGTGAGCAGCAGCAGGATGCAGCACCTCGATCCAAATCAGCAGCAGCAGCAGCAGCAGCAGCAGACGCTTCAACGAATAGCAGTATGTGTGGCGATAGCTGCAGCAGGGAGTCTTCAGCAGCAGCAGCAGCAGCAGCAGCAGCAGCAGCAACGCCCACAGCTGCTGCACTGAGCGCTGCAGCAGACACTGACGCACAAAATGGAGCCCCCAGCAGCTCTGTTCTTTCCTTT